AAACCCCAACAACTATACACCAACATTATACATTGGATACACATACCTATCAACAACAAATTACAACTCCACAGATGTACAGGATGTGAACTAACAATATCCCTAAATGGCTTTAACCACTGCACTATACAAACCAAAACTATCTACCTACTACCCAGTGTTGGCACTGGACATATGTCTATCTATTTTCAACACTATTGGACTGGACTTGAACATTGGACATATACCTGGACATGGTCCAGGTCCAATATGTCTAATCACCTATTAAAGTTTTTTTTATTATATAATAGATTAAAAAAATTTATACGATATAACGAATAATTTAAGCAAATCAAGAATTTTGAGCTTTAATTTTAAATTATAATTATTATTATTGTTAAGGTTAGAGGTTGAAATCGCTAATTTTTATTAATATTAAAACTTTATGTAACATACGGGTTTATTCAAATTGGTTCTAATTAAAGTTAATAGACTTTGAGATCTTTCATAATCTCAGCTGTTTGTAGTTTTTTTGTTCTTAATAAGTAATTTTCCATATAGCAATAGCCAATCATGATACATAATATTATGTGTTAGCATTATTGAACCATTGTCCAATGTCCAATACCCTTTAGTCCAATGGATTGGACTGGATTGGATAAAGGTGGTCCAATGTCCAGGTCCAATATCCAAGCCCAACACTGCCTATACCATACTGCTATTCTGTAATCCCATTTTGTTCTACAAAAAATTTTGAGTTACCTGTTGAACGATTATACTCACAAAGTAACTACCCAGTATATCGTAAACAGAGAAATTCCTGTGTTTGGTGCCGGTTTAAAAATACGGCTGAGCAAGGGAAACGCACTGAAAAATCACCACTAAGTCAGGTGTGGTGCACAACATATAATGTATCTTTATGTCTCAATAAGCAACGTCTAGATTGTTTTATTGTGTATCATGAATGTAAATAATAAAATAAATACTGTTTTTATGTTGTTGAATAAAGTTTTCTATTATTTTGTAATGGTTGTAATATAAGTAAATAACAGAAAATTTGAAGGCAAGTTGCGTCTAATTGACAAACAGTTTAAGGGATATTAACTCGCGAGAAAAACAAAAAATATATATAAAAAAAAATTCTAAACAGGTAACACCAAACTAAACTTAGTTTAGCTGATAGGCCACCATTCAACTAGCCAGTTGAATGGCCCATCTAAACAAAGTTCCCAGCCTAATTTGACTATCAAAAATCAAACCCCCGGCGGCATAGCTAGCTTGAAAGTTCCCGGCCTAATTTGATTATTAAAAATCAAATCCCCGGCTAACTTGAAAAAAAAAGAAAATTTAAACAAAAAAAAATATAGAAAAATTCTGAATAGTTAGCACCAAATTAAACTTAGTTTAGCTGATAGGCCACCATCCAACCAGCCTAGTTGAATGGCCCGTCTAAACAAAGTTTCCGGCCTAATTTGATTATCAAAAATCAAACCCCCGGCGGCATAGCTAACTTGAAAGTTTCCGGCCTAATTTGATTATCAAAAATCAAATCCCCGGTTAATTTGAAAAAAAAGAAAATTTAAACAAAAAAATATCCCTAGTGACATAGCTAACTTAATGTCATTTGAAAAAAATCTGCTATTTAAAAGTCCACAACTAATCACTTATTATTTCTTGTAATATCTTTTGCTAAAATATATATCTGTTAATATAAAAATTTGTAATTATACTTTTAAATAATTAAATTACTTACCACGGCATTGT